CTAGTAGCTTCTTGTTACTACTAGTAAGGCACTTGTTACTAGTAGCGATGCACTTGTTTCTAGTAGCTTCTTGTTACTACTAGTAAGGCACTTGTTACTAGTAGCGTGGCACTTGTTCCTAGTAGCATTCTTGATGCCCAAAACGTGATTCTTTCTCCAAGGTTTACCAAGAAAAAGAAGAAGGAGAGACCGTCCGGAGCGACCGTCCGTTTCGGTCGTCTCGGTCGCCACCTCTGAACCAACCCACCAGCGTGTTTGGCCTCCAAAGGCGTTGCAGCATTGCAGTGACTCAGATTCAGCAAAGCAAGGCTAGCACTTTGGGCTAGCATTCTTGGACCTGAGTCATGCGGCGGGCACGCTAGTCACTTTTTTGGCATTCCTAAGAGCCCATTGGGTGCCATTCCAAGCCTTTAGACCCAGTGGCAATGCCTTCGAAGAATCCGTGTTGAAGAAGACTCAGATAGAGCCATTTGATGTCCCTCCGGACATGGTAGAAGTGTTCATCGTTTGGTAAAAGTTGTCGTCGTTTAGTCGAGGTGTCGTTGAATGACCATCTGATGAAATTGGGGTGGGGCCCAGTAGGGAGAGGGGGGTTGATACCGGAGCTAGTAGGTTGGAGGCCATCGTTTCAGAGGCCACTCCTATTAGGTACCTTTTGCTATTAGGTTAGAGGCCATCGCTATTAGGCCATCGCTATTGTGCAGTTGGTCCGTCTGGGAACGTTCCCGGAGTCTCGGAACAAGCGGTCACACGAAGTGATGCAGCGGTCCTCGAGGTTTAAAGCGGTCGCACGTGGACTGCTTTCCTTGAGCCAATGTGTGATGTGTGAAACTAGGATAACTCAGAGGAATGGGGTTGCTTTCAACTTCTCCTCTCGACCAGATCGAACACGTAACAACCTGATAGGGAAGGCCTCCAACTTACTAGCGATGGCCTCCAACCTACTAGCGATGGCCTCCAACCTAGTAGCGATGGATCTCCAACCTAGTGCCCACTGTTTGAATAAGCAACCAAGGTCAGACTGCATCATTGGGGCCTCGGCAACCCACAGAGAAAAAGCTCCTAGTAGCGATGCCAGGAGGTTGTAGTGGCTTCTTGTTCCTAGTAGTAAGGCCAGGAGCCCCTAGTAGCGTCCTTGCTCCTAGTAGCGATGTCCCTTGCTCCTAGTAGTGTCCTTTTTTGTCATCACTTATAGCGCTTGCTTTGCAAAGCTGTAAGGTCCTTGGCCGACAGCTGACAATGAGTATATAGGGCTGGGAGCGCAAAGTAACCTTGCTATTCGCAAAAGATTTGAAGGGTGGGGCAATTCACGTCTGATGCATCGCAATTTGCACTCCACAGATGGGCATGATGTTCTGACACACACCTGCTGATTCAGCTTTGAACAAGAATAGAACAACTAGCAGAATCAAAGGCTTTTTTTGCTGGTCTCAGATGATGTGTTGGCATTCCTCGCCAAGCTTTGCTCTCATCCGCTGGTGTTGGAACATTTGCAGAACTTGTCCACATTGCTTGAGGAGGAAGAGCAAGCCGAGCAGCTGCAACAGCAGTTGCAGAAGCTCACAGAAGAATATGTCAACTTCAGGACTTGTGATCTTGAGAACTGCACATACTAGGAACAATTACAAGAAGCTACTAGTAACAAGTGCATCGCTACTAGTAACAAGTGCCTTACTGGTAGTAACAAGAAGCTACTAGGAACAAGT